GAAATGCTCTAGATTATCTCTAATCCATCTTTATGCCATTTCTTTGAACAATTAGCTTTCCTTCGGGGCATTTGCCGGAACGAGTAATCTTGAGCCACTTTAAAATGCAGGAAATCATAAAAGCCTTCCACTTTGCAATTATTTGAGTTCCTAAAGAAGAAGAAGAGGAAGAGTTGTACTGCAAATGTTAGTTTTCTCAGCGATCTAACGACCAACATTTGATTGAGTCTGGCAATAGTGAGTTTTGTTGACGAGTAGCCATAAAAGGTCAGACAAATTTTGTCATAATTCTAATTTTAAAAACGCCCCATTAAATTACGAACTGCGTAAACTTACAACTTTGTTACGTTTCTCTAAACTATTCCAAAAGCTACGGTATATTGTAATCCGTTAATTGTTTGTTTGACTCACGGCTTTGGTAACAGGACACTTAGGGTCCCGCCATTGTGCCTCCACTGGTAGGGCTGTCCATCGGGCCATGCCAGTAGCCCCCAAACCCTACCGTATGTCGACAATGCATAGTCCGCATAAATATTATGCCTCCTTTTGTCCTCTGGAAAATTTCGGAGCACTGCAATAGTTTTTCAACATTGAGTAAATAACGATAGCTCCAACTTAATTTCTTAATTCAACACCACATAAATAAGTTTCGTTTTCTCAAACCTTACATATTTTTATGCCCATTTGTTTCTCTTCCCGAGTCTCAAAAGCTTAATAAATGTATCGCAGCAGTTGTGATGCATGTTTTCCGGGCATTATTTTTGATTAAACGCAGAAATTATGGTGTAGAGATTATGTCTAAGGGTTTGAAAAGACCATATAGCTCGCTAAGCAATAACTAGCGGCGTTGGCTTTTTAAAAAATGGAAAATAATAAAAAGTGTGATATAATGACTGGTAGAAAATATTTCTCCGACTTAGGGCCGAAAAAGGAAATTGTTTGATTTGGTTTTCATGATTGATTTTAAACAAAACATTTCTTAGTTGAGTAGAAAATGCGCTTTAGTCGTAAAAATGCAAACAAATAGCATTGGTAACCTGAAATTGCATGAATTCAAGGCCTCTACCAAAGGGAATTCAGTTCTTTGAATGTCAAGAGGACTTTTCGTCTTTGCAACAGGGGTGGTCTCCTCCAAGTAGCAAACTTTCACGCAGTGCTCCCCTTCCTCGCAACCCGAAAAGGCTTAATTGGAGCAGAAGAACTGATGGGCAAAGGAATCCCACACTACCACGTAGTAATCTATTTTAGCTGAATCTGTAAGTCTAATGGACAGCAATTCAGGGTTTTTAATGTAGCACCCTGAGACTTCTCTGAAGACGAAAGAAGACATAATATTTGGGCCGAATATCTGCAGTCAAAGTAGAGAAGGGCTGAAGAAAAGCCACTGGCATGGTTCAGAGGCCAGTTCGCCCGGCAAAGTTACAATGACGGAGACCTAAAGTGTCCCCTTTAGCAAAACCAAGAGTTAAAAACCAACATATTACACTTACGTACAACGGAAAGATGGTCTGACGAATTAGAAGACTAACATCTTTCTTAATATAGTGTTTTCAATTGCAAAATTTAGCAGACAAATGCAATTTACTAGTATGTAATCTAAAAATTAGGCCTTAGGAGGCCTTCATTCTGTAATCCATAGTTTGCAAATCATCAGAATAACCCGATATTTTATAAAGAAGTATTCGTACACCCAGCTTAATAAATAATTATTGAAATTCATGAAGAGCAATGGCTTTACTAGATATTTTAGCTTAGTAGATGTTAGATTTGCGCAGTTACAGAGTATACCATTAATTATTGTGGGCGACCAGTAGGTTCAAGACTTAATATTTCAGTTTGATCAGGTTTCCCGTAGATCGTTAAATTGGCCTTAAAACTCTGACTATTGGTTTGAGACTAAAAATTGGATAAAGCCCGTTTGCATATAGCACCCCACAATTTCTACCACGGCCTGAGGCTTACCGGCATGATACAGGGTAAAGGCACAACAGCGCAGCACCTAGGTGGCACCTAAAATCAAGTGGATAGTTAGACGAACAACTAATAAACTACATGTAGCATTTGTTTCGCTAAAAAGGGGTAACATTCTAGTGAAGTTTTCAAACAAACTTTTGAGTTGTGCAAAGGACATAACATAAATGGTCCGCTGAGTAACCAATAGCAATTGCTACCAAGAGAAACAGATTTGCAGAATGAGCGAAGGGCTTGAAGTAATTTTTTGAGGGTTTTATCAGAAAAAAAGTGTGAATATCTGAGAAATGCTTGTCATTCTAAAAATGGCCAATTTTGTAAAAAATCTTGCATAACCAAAACTAAAAAATTGGACTTCAAGAGCATGTTGTTGATTAATCCATTAATGGGAAAGAGTGAAAACTAAGTAGGATTGATTTGTTTTATTAATCCCCACATTTTTAATCAGCACAAGTCTGTGCGAATTATCTGCAGTCTCACGCATTTCAGTCTTGGCAACATGCGGATCGCGTTGGAATTCTCGGGAGGTGCGGAGCTGCTTTTTGGTAACAAAAAAGAACAGAGCGCTGACTTGCCCGACTCAGTCAAAACAATTAAAGAGCTCCTTCCGTGGTTGCGTGATCATATGCTTACGGGACGACCCGATCTATTTATCACTAACAATTCTATCAGACCAGGCATCTTGACGCTGGTAAATGACACAGATTGGAGTCTCCTTGGCGAAGAGGAATACCAGCTCAGGGAGAAAGATAAGGTGTCCTTTATCTCCACACTTCACGGAGGCTAACTCATGATAGTGGATTGCTTTCGTCACTACGTGATTATGTACTTTATGTCTACCTGGAGACAACCACTATTAATCCATTACACCCTCCTTTGTCTACCAGTTTCTTAATCCTTGTCTGAATGTGGTCGACTAGAGGTTGCGCTCCTCTCAAAGCGTAGTTCCAGTTGCACACGCGAGGGAGGGCCATCACTCTACTAAAATACCCATTATTATGTAATGAACTACGTTGGCTTGGATTTCATTCGAGAAATGGGGGATTGACCTGATTTTTTCAAGCGACCATGAAGTTCTGCAGTCCCGATCGTAGTGGCTGCATTCAGAGTTGGTTAAAAAAGCGCTGTGGCAAGAGGTACCCGTAGTGTTCAACATTACCCTCTGAACGCGGCGTCGTCATTTTCCGACATAAAGGACGGATCGGGGAGCGACCCCCTGTATTTTATACCTTGTCCTAGCATGAGGTAGTAGGTAGTCCAGCCGCCTCCGATCTCTGAAATGATGCCTAGGTGTTAAATCATGCGGCCAACTTCCGCTAATAGTGGTGGCAGATAACACTTCGGTCTTGGTGATTCAGCCCAGGGTCGGGTTTGGTGGACGTGTTTGGTAGCTGATACATCCTCACACGTCACCAGCATACCAAGGTTGTGGTGGAGGGTTCACGCTAGTGTCACTTGGTGGGCTGAGTTTAAGCTGCCGGCTGACCTCCGGGTAGGATCAGCGAGAGGGTTTCACGGTCAACTGCGGAAAACGCTACCCAATCCTAGAAATGTCTGATGCTCTTTGAGATCTTTGATGACACCGCTCTTGGAATCTGTTGGGACCACGGTTGTCGTCCTTCGCGGCAAGTTCGCGCAGTAAATTTACAAATCACCGTGCCTGAAGTTGGGTATTGTATAAGCGGCCAGAACCCAGTCTTTTTGCTCTTCAACGCCAAGATAGGGGCAAAAACCATTCGACTTAAGAGGTCGCATATACTGCCAAGAAAACCCAAATTCTCCAATTAATAGTGAGTGTTCAATAGGGATAAAATGGTATCAAATCAGTACCAAAGGGATGTCAAGTTTACAAATCGGGCCTAGACGAATCCAACTCGAATTCTATGGTAACATGAGCCAAATGACCCCTGAAGTTCCCATCGTTTTGTACAACTAAAATAAATTCGTAAAAAGGCACGGCCGACTTACTCAAATTCTTTTTCAAATCCAGACTGTACTCATCCGGAGCCAGTTCTGTAGACTCATCGACCTAGAAAATGGAAGGCTACAGCAATCCAATCATACGTATGCGTTTCCGGATATTACCGTGGCAGGACCACTGACGGCCAGCGCGAATTTTTGGAAAAATAGGTAACTGGACGAAACGGAAGGCCGCTGTATGTGACAGATGTATCTATTTAGATGCTTTGAATAAACCATCGAAAAATGCCACTCCTGAAGCCTAGAGAATAACAAAACAACACGTACTTCACCCGTTCCCCCTTGACAGGTGTAGTCAAACTTGCATTCCACGCCGAACTGAGGACATCGTAAAAATTTTATTGCCAAATCATACCCCTTCTATTGACACTGAACGCGCAACTCCGCCAGGCCTAATCACAGCCTCTTTAATCACAAAATTTTCATCGGCAAGAGAAACAAATAGGAAAGTTATAAAATAAAAAAGGAGAGGAAGATAAGATCCCCACATACACAAACGAGGCTGTACACTAATTTAAAAACACCGCTGAAACGTCAGCGGAGACAGGGTCGTACAATCAGGAGGACTATGTGCATCATCAATGCATGAATTTTAATAAATGGAAGTAGTTAAAAGTCCCGGATAGCTAAAAGTAAACAATGAATGCCAACATGGGAGGTGATGCATAATCAGCCAGTACAATAGTGAAACGGTCAATTAGCATTAATCAAGATTTGATGGTTTATTCATGGTCAATCCGAAAGGTTGTGCACAAGCAATAACAAGTAATCATCAACTAAACTAATAAGTAAGCTGATTTTTGACTTTTTTATGCGGTGATATAGGAAATTCTCTACTTGTTTAAAATGTCATTGAGAATTGAATAAAACTCCTGCATTCTATATTTACCTTCCTCAGCGATGAACAAGTTGCATAAATAAGAAAACTAGTCACCTCTTAGTAGACTCTTACAAGCCTAATAAGGAATGGTTTGGCTGAATATTTATTCTTTTATTCCTTTCGCGCAACTCCATAGGGTAGCAAGTCCGAAGGTCACGTTGCGTTGGCATTTCCTCGCTTATTGTGCCTTACCTGAAACCGCGTGTCCCAGTAAGTTGTTTGAAACTACCGTCCTATTTTAATGACTGTGGCGACTTCCCCGATTATATTGAACGTTTTCATTTCATATGTCTGATCAGCTCTGTGAACTAATTCTGTTTCATTTTTAGGTGCCTTCAACTATCAAAGGATGGAGCCTGACATTGAAATCGAAGACATGCATGAGTATGGCATGCCACAACCAACAGCATCCAGAGGTTAGATCAGGCTTCTCTTCATTAATTTTGTTTTCCAGATGATGGGTTTTTCTCCTACAAAATCCTCGTCGCTGTTATCGTGTTTGCTCTCTATTTCTTGGTGTCGCGTTTCTCGGCAGCTTTTGGGGCGAGGGTAGCCAGGCTTGCATCTGGCGGTGTGTTACTTAGGTCTTTTTATTCATCTACAATGTTAAACAAGGTTTTGTAACTTGTGCTGCCATCTTCATTTTCAGTAGTCTCGCCATCGGTTCTGCTCATTCCATTCTGTTGATTTCAATGCAGTATTTTGTGTTTTGTTAGCTGATAGACGGAATTACGAGGAAGAAATGCGTGAAGCCAGAAGACGTTTGCAGGAAAGGTTTGATGAAGAAAGGAAAAATCGTAAAGTGGTATATTCCAGTTTTTCGTGCTATTTTCTCAACTTTGTAGCAAGATGCGGAAAAACCTCGAATCGAAGCTAGCGGGAAACCCAAGGACAACGAAGTAACTTTTCTCCCCTTTTCATCAATTTTTCCGCCTGCATAAGGACTTGGGTAAACCACGTCTTGCCTTTAGAAACCTCAGGACAGAACTAAACGTACCGAAGCCCCTAAACCAGAAATGCTAAATAGCTCAGGTAAGTGTCCATGCTTTGTTGTCTGAGCAAGATAGCCAGGAATCTTTAAGATGGTATTGTTCAAAACTCAGTTGATGGATTATTTTATGCTCCCTCTCAATGTGTGCTACCAATTATTTGTATAGTAATTTACCAACGTTTTGTTCCTTTCCATGATGTCAGAACATAGCAGAGTGGGGGAAGATGTGCTCGTGTCTTTTAAGTATCATTTCCATTCTATCAGCAGCAGCGCAGCCCAACTTACTAGTACTGTACCTTTGGGTGACGTTTTTTCCCTTTGCGTGTGACAAGTATTCCTGAGCTTATTAACAATCCTTTGCTTGATTAAATTGATCGCCTCAAGGTTTCACGTACGAGGATCAGATCACAGACTGGGGCGGGGATAGTGCGGCCGTAAGTAAAGGTGTTTTAGTTCTGGTGAGACATTTTAAGGAAAAATTGGTTTATGTAATTCGGGAATATTGATAATTATATGGTGACACATTAGTTTTGCATATCAGAAGTCCTTTCCCCTCATTGTTCAACGAGATTTTGCGCAATTGTCTCCATTTAAATGATCTCGTTAACCTGATGCTTTTCTCGGTCCTGGGAAGTATAAAAGGCAAACAGCCACTTTATACAGTCGGCCAGCACTAAGTAAAAGCCTAACAAGAATAGGAGGTTTAAGACTGACTTGTTTGAATTTGCTGTCTCTGTGATTTCGTTTGCGATTTAGATTGACAAAATTTATCTTAGAATGCTTTGTCATATTGAATCGTGCAGATTGTTGGAGAAATGATTTTTAGCGTTATTCAATGCAGTGATTGTTAAAAAGGCTCTAGTTTCTCAAATTTGCGGTGTTTTTTTGCTTAAAATCCCTCAATAGTCCCAAGGATGACTTCTGTAAAGCTACTCGAGATGAATGTGATAGCAGCTATTACTATTTGTTAATGCCTAACAATTCTTCCTAGCACGCGTTTTCCTCACTGAGCAAATCTGTGATTCTACAGTTATGAAGTCTCACAAAAACCAACCACTGGAACTACATCCTCTTTATTGGCGTTATTAAAGTCGTCTTCTAACTCTGTCGTTTTAGGATACTTTCCTTTGATGGGCGATAGCAGTGGTTCCAACTTCTGTTTTCGCCGTTCCAGAAAGCCTGGCGGATGAGGCTAAGCCCCCTCTCAACTGTAAACACATCTCTTGCCCTCATCTCCCTCCCTCTTTCCTCTTCAATTACAGTTTTCATCCCCTCCCCGCAGCCGCCCTCACTCCGTGGGCCATGCGTTCCCACTTATGACGTTGATTGTCGAAACGCTGGACAATCAATTGATTATGCGGTGGTGGCGGTGGCAACGTGGGGACACAGGGCAGAGGGACAGCCACACTCACTCCATTTGCCATCGAACTTTTTCACTTTTTCCCTCCTTCTCCTTCGTGATCTACTAGTGTTTGCCACAAACGTGCATCCTTCCATTTGTGGGTTTTTATGCTCTACTTATGCGACTTTGTTGTCCAAGTGGAATCTGTGATCAACCTCAATAGCTTTTGCACGACATTCACCATCCTACTACTCCAACGGTGATCCTCGAAACAGGAGTTTGACGTACTGATGAGTTTTACAAAGTTCAAGATTTAGGCAATGTCAAGTAGAAATGACCTGAGTGGATATGCTCACTAAGATAAGGGCACCGAATATTTGCCGAATGTATTTGGTGGGATTAAGAGAAACCTCGTGTTTGATGAGAGCTAATGACTCGCATTGACCATTCCTGTGGAGCCTCACTGGTCTATGTTCGACGTGTATGATGAGGTTAAGCATCTGATCTGGTGGTAATGTCCGGTTGAAGTTTAAAATGGCAACTGCTGGACTGGTAATTGACTAGGCGGGGTGGCACGTAAGCTTGCACAAGGCGTGGCTCTGGGTCACTTGGAGGCGATGTGTGCGGTCGTCCAAATTGTAGGAAATGAATGGGATTTGCCAAGTAAATACCAAAAGGGACCTTCATCAAGATATGAAATAAATTTTAACGTTATTTTATCAGTCTCGTTGGTTGTACTATCTTCCTCAGCTAACTGTCGCTATTAGCGCCAGATCTTGTCGCATCCGGGTCGGTGTGATTAAAAGCACCAGAAGGAGAGTGCGGCCTTCTTGATTCGGAAGCAGTCACGTTTTTTTTTTCACGAAGCAAAACGAAATAGAACACATCTCCAGGAGCAGTGGTAATCATTTCGTCTAGCAGGAAATATGGAATAATGATCCAAAAAAGTAACTTGATGAAACTAGTATAGGTAAGAATATGTACAAATAAAAGTATGAAAACATAAATTGACAACTGAAAAGGGTGTTGAATAACTTTCTAAGTCACTTATGTAGTGGAAAATTGCTATTTTCTTTATCAATTTGCGGTTATTAATAGTGAAGCAGAAAGTGAGAACATGGCATGTTTGTAGGACGAGGCTCATAAATCTCCTCTTCCCTGGCCCTCACACTCTTGGAACGCCCAGGTTGATATAGTTTTGTTATGTTTATTGGGTAAAATGAATGGAGAGAGCGGGTACAAGTTCAGGGAGGTTTGAACACGGAACCTTTATCCAGGTTTCAGGACGCCGCCTGCTCCTCAGTCACGAGGTTCCATTCGTACGCCCGCCTCCTCTCTGAAAGGAACATTAAAACAGCATAAGTATTACAATGTTACTTCACCGCAGTCGAGCTCAGAAAAATCGGATCTGCTCCATGAAATCCTCCATAGTTTCTTCGGGTTGCCAAAATTAATGTTTCCAGTCGGCACGTAGTCAAACCTACTAGGAGGGGGAGAATTCTCCCCTCCTAAGCGGAGACGAACTGGCTCCTCGCAAAACTATTTTTTATTAACTGGCTTGCCATTGACATTTTACTTTGACAACTTACTATTTGCCATCCGTACTGTAGGACCCCATTTGGATGAAGTAGCGTAGAAAGCCACGCAGGCCGCCCCTGTTGATGGTCCAGATGGCACAGAAGGCAGTGCTAAAATAATTGTAAATAGTAGAGGGCGATCAACTGTGTTTAGAAGATTTCTGTTGCACCTTAAAAAACATGGCGAGAGATTAAAGTAATCGGCACTCAATGGTTTTAGCTTAAGTGGAACTCAAAGATTGGAATTTGGTGGTCAAAATCCTCTCAGGCTTTGCCATTGATTAATTTTTTTTATCTGTTTGCATTTCGGGGGTGGATTTATGAGGAGTCTGTTCAGAAAACTTCGTATGTATACACAAAGTAGGTATGGTTTTTTAAGTACTCAAGTTCTAATGGAATTTCGCATAAATTAGACACTAATAAAGCCTTCAAATGTGCGTCAAATATGTTGACCTGAATTGCACTGCATTCGGAGGAGTAATGGCCTAAAGGGAATGGGAGGTAATTGTAGCGCCCTGAAACTTCTCAAAAGATGGAATATATATATTTGGCATACAGAATAGTTTGGCGCCACTGTCATGCACCAAAGGCCAACCCACCTGGCGAAGGTACAATGGCCAAGACACAAAGTGGTCATTTACTGAAGCCGGAAGTTAAGTAATCAACGTATTATGTAGCCCCTCCCCTCTTTTTAGCGTCGTCCCCGGCGCTCCCCTTAGTCAACCTCCAGCGTTAGCCATCACTGCGAAATCGGCGATGTAGAGAAACACCCACATGCCAGCAGCGCCGGTCATTGAATTTCTATGCATATGCGGATATAATTGACCTCAATTACACTGATTCCCCTTAGCAGTTTGACTGGATTTGCAGTTTTATCTTGCATGGGAACTGGATCTGGGGTCGGCAAATTGTGCTGGCCATCGCGGGTATCCATAACTAGACGCAGGAACACTGGCCTAAAAGCAGATTTACGAGAGAGAACAGGATTCAACACCATTCCGTGGGGGTAGGAATTCATGTCTATTCCTCCTTGCCACTATGCTCTCACCTCAGAGCTGCCCAGTCATATCTGTCTGGGTTCTATCCAGCTAGTGGAGAAGTGGAGGAATATTGCAAGTTTAAGTTATTAATACCTTTATGCAGGTATGATAGACAACTCTGTAACGAAATTTTTCCAGATGATTCACGGCTAGTGTCACTTCCGTTGCTAATAGCATCCCTGCAGACCACGGCACTGATGTAGTTGCTGAAGGTGGACGTCATCTTCTATCACCTTCTACAGATTATCCCATCTGTAGCATGTGCAATTCTTCTGCCCCGCTGGGATTTATCACCCAGTAGTAGAAATAAGGATGGATGTCCTTTAAAATTGGGTTCGTTTTCCCTTGCCACCAATGTAGAGCCCCGAGATTGCCCCGACGACGAAAGGAGAGCTTACATACAGGAGGACATACAGTAGAGCTTAAGGCTAATGTCATGCCACGGAGGCCAGTCCAGCCGGTGGAGGTGCAATGGCGGAGTCCTAAGTGGGCCGTTACCAAAAGTGAGAACTAAACGAACAACCAACGTATCGCAGTAATAGCACAGTGACTTTCCATCCAGCTAGAACCGTGAATAAAGAGGTGAGGTTCAGGATTCATCCATCCAAATGTAACATACTCTTGGTTCTGGATACTCTCTATCTACTACAGATTTTGTATACCTTTTTAGAGAATACCTTCTAATCTCTAAGCCATCTTTTGCTGGCACAAGGTCTCGAAACCAGTTATTTTTAATCCCTTTGAACGGAGACTTCATTGATAGGTGCCAGTAGTCGCAATCATTGCTCTGTTTCATAAGTGATAAAGCTCTTTTCTGGATTACTGGTAATTAGCTCATTCCTGTCTATTCAAAAAGTAATCACATAAATTTATTTGACATTCTTGGAAAAACTACTACACTCTTATCTTTCAGTCATATGAGATCACTCATTGAAATGTTTAAACGAAATTCGACGATTTTTGTGCTTTAGTTATTCGAAATTTTTATTATTTCCAGTAACTTGCGGAAAACATTTCAACATATTTTTGCACGTTTGATCTGTTTTGGTCTATGTGGGAAAAATCCAATTCCAATTAACAAGGAAAATGCAGAAAGTGCATTAGTCCGAATGGATTGTTGAGGAAGAGGAAATAGTATAAAAGTGTGGGGCCCCAAGTCGATAAAGTTTACAATACTAAAGCCTGAAATACACTACTGACACATGAAAGTACCTTGATTGAAATACAGGAATGAAATAACTACCTACTCGACTCATCAACATTCCTCCACAATTGCTTCTCTCAATCAGAGCCAGAAGTTACTTCCGAGAATGGGGTCCTCGTGGATAGCATAAGTGATTTTATCGCTTAGCGGATGACATAAATCATTCGGGAAGATAACAATCAAATTTAACATTTGCTTGATCCGGCCCGTCTTTCCTGAAAATTCCGTTTGAATGGAAAACTGACGTTATAATTGATTGGCGTCGCTCGGACTTAGTGGTCTCAAAAATGTACGTAACCAGATGCCATCGAAGTCATTGTCTAAAGTCTCCTGATCCCCGTTCAATCGAAACTCCTTGTATTGGTACACTTGCATCAAGATAAACGAAGGCACCTCAAATACCAAGTGAATTGAATCATATTCGAAGTTAACAAGTATATCTATAGACAAGTGCATCTTTTCAGCTTTACATACAAAGGAACCAAGCAATATCGACCTAATGAACAAAACTACAGACTAATAAGGGCCGATGTTTGGCGTCCGACCTCACATAACATCCACCAAGGTAAACTGTGTTTGTGCAACCACAACGCAACAAAAGCGACAATGAAGAAAATATGACCATGTATCAAGCAGCTTAGTTACTGGAAAAGCCTAGTTTACAAGGATACAAACCTGTCTTATTGTAAAGATTTTAGTCAGATAAAATTAGAGATACATTTTTTCAAACTCGTCTGCATCAACAAAAATCACTCAAATTTCAAGACTCACCATTAGTTTGATTTCTAAAATATGCCCTAAACATACTCAAGTAAATACTTATTACTTACATGCAAACGGACGGCCGATTGCATAAAATGAAGCAATCTAAGTATGAGTATCAATGAGACTAAAATTCCTCGAAAATTTTCATTTCAGGGTCTTTTTGCCTTTCTTAAGGTTTGAATTTAAAATATATTGGAAGGTTTCAGGTTAGGTAAAAACCAGATAAACCATGGGCACCAAAAAGTGTGAAAATCGAGCATTTGGCCACACCCATTACACAAGACCCCATAATCCAATGATTGAGCTTTGACAAATACCTTAAATACAAGCACTCCCTGATACGTAATCCGACGTTTTAGCAAAAAAACTCACCTACCTGCAAATGGAGACGAGGCCTGCCACTGAGGAGCTACATAGTCTACCAGAAAAAAGAAGGAATCCACCAGCACCATACCAGCGTAGGTTTGCCCACAACCCGAGAGCAGATGTGAGGGCAATCTTCTCCACCAAAGAGTGCTCAGGGAATTAAATAAGTATCAGTAGCGTCATCGTCTTCTCTCCCAAAAGCAGAAACTCGATGTTCACCCAACTCTCCACCTTCACCAGCGGCGCTGACGCCGTCCTTAGTGTAACACTGACAGCCACGGTAATAGTGTGTGCCTTGTCGTGAAAAAATTGATTCTCCAGGCACAATCCTTCCCCTATCGTCAACAATGGCGCCTTTGTCGTGTCACGACCTGCCTTGCCATAAACCAGTAGGTTCAAGTAAACGTAAATCCCGTTTCAATGCTGCAAAGTGCCACTAATCAGCATCAGTCGACGAAAGGTCCCAAACTACTCGTCGTGATCCGCACTAGCGTTTAAAATGATTTGCGCACCGGCTTGATAGTAGACTGGGTGCGGATGACCAAGTCCCTCTTCCAAAACCCTTTACAGGTCTCCAGACCAACCACTCTACCTCGGTAGAATTAAAAACAGTGCAACTAAAGAGAGCGACTTCTTGATCCGCGGCGTTAAATGGCGTCGAAGAGGTGGAAAGCTTCCAGCCGCCAGGAGTTTAACCAAGGAAGGATCCAGCGGAGTTCCTGACGAAGACCTCATTAGGCAAGTATTGATTTGGGGTAGAAAGAGGGGATGCGGCTGTTGAAGATGCGAAACTGGAAGTTATGGTCAAAATTTTAGGAAGGGGGTGAGAAGATGACGGAGCGCCAATCCCACAGGCAATGTCAAGACAGGTGGGATCGGTAGTGTTGCGAAGAATATCTGAGCAATCCAATCTCAAGAGTGAATTCAATATCCCTCTCGATAAAGAGATCTTCACACTCGTAACCAGGAATTTCAGGTTTGAAACCAGGGCGATATTCAGCACAGGACTGTTTGGCCTCGCAGATACTTAGAAGAATGCGCATGGTATTGGCGCGGAAGCCCAAAACCTACTGGTTTACATCGCGGACAGGGGATGTCAGCATATTTCATAGGTCAAGTAACGAGATAAGAAGGGTAAGAGTAGTTCATATTTCAGCACCGAATAATGCGCAAAAACGCGATCAAAATTATTCCTGTTTCACGCAGCAGTTTGACCTTGTTGTTATACTCGTGTCTTAAACAACACCTAAAAGTAATTTTTTCGTAATCAAAATGAAACAGGATTAGCAAAATTTACAAAAAAAATTGTCCAACTGCTAGCTAATTTTTTTAATGAAACAGGTGCTAATGATAATGAAGGCTGGATGAATACAAGAATAAGTTAAACCGTAGAGCATATTTGCAGGAATACAACAATCAGCTGGAAAAAATTGTCGTGAATGAAAGAGCCAAGCCCACTTCAAGCGGAATCCGCACATAACCCCTTAAGCTATTTAAGGAATCCCTGCCTCAGCCGTGCTTACTGTAGCGTTCCAGGACTCCTTGAAGACGAAAGAAGACAAAATACTCGGGCAGAATATATATTCAGTGCAGAAAAGGTGCCTGGGCTATTGACATGGCCCAGAAGGCCAGCCCATCCAGCGAGGTACAAGGGGGCTAATTCAAAGTACAAAAGTGGCACCTCACCAATACCGAGGGACAAACCACTATCGCATTACATTACAATATATAAACCCAAAAACTGGTGATTTAGGTGGAAAATCCCAGAGGCCCCCTCCAGTCCCCCAAATACCCTTAGCTCTAAGCCCTTCGATCAAAGATATTAAGCTGTTTGTGGATAACACTTTGTTAGCAAAAGCCTCGTGTGGAGTTTAGATCACGTTATCTTCTTGAGATGCTATGATGTCCATTCGAATACCGAAGTCAACGAAATTGGTGGTTTGTTCCCCAAAAGATGTATTTAGTCAAACATGTTTATCAGTTTTCTGGTAGTACCAATTACATGAATTGCATAATTTAAGATGAAAACCTTGCTAAGAATAACTTAACGATTGTTTAGTGAATTACTTTGCATATCCTAGCAAATATAGAAAGTAATAAGTATTCTTTTTAGGGAATCGTTGTGCACTTATATGGTTGGATTTTTTGCACCATTCTTATCATGTTTTGGTATACAATGTCTGAAAATTACTTTTTCCACAAATTTTAGGTGAAACGAGTTGCAGGTAATTGAATTTCTAATTCACTGCTTTTGTAAGCCTTCAACACCTAAATCAAAATTCATCCCATTATTTATCTCTGATGGAAATGGGTTGAGATAAGCTCGGCACTAACCGTCTGGGGACGATATTTTGAAAAGTATTTCTTAAGATCACTAGTCAGATATCTACTAGTTTAAATGTGTTTAACAAAAAACTCCAAAAGCAGCTAATCCACTTTGGATTTTGAGCCTAGACACTTGGGAGAAAACACCATCCACCTCCCTCAAATGAGCAGCCTTAATCAACATTCCTTCATTGATAAGATGAGCCCGCAGCCATGCCTACATTTATGAGCGTTAGGAACGTTCGATAGATGAAAAATACATATTTACAGACCTTAAGTAAGAATCTCCGTCCAGCACTTCACATTTCCACCACTTGTGTACTGGAATTCGTTTGGCTCTACAAACTTCAGTTTTTATTAGAAGTACTCTTCTAGATTCCGCAATAAATGTTTCATTGATAGGAGGAAGCGCATTTGCGAATACAAGTTAGTTTTACCAACGGCTTGGTCACTACTCCCAACATGGCATATATTCTAATAAGATCTCAAAAAGCTACTGAAAGTCTAAATGATTACCTGCAAAAAAGTGGAAACCACTCACGCTGTCAAAAAAAAAACTAAAAGAGGAAAATACTTGGGGACATGGCAGAAATACACCCCTTGCAAGGGCTCGTCGTAGATCGTCGAAATGCAAGTTTTTTCACTTCACAGTTTCGAAACATGATAAATTTCGTCTTTCTATGGATGACCCAACTTTTCAAAATCCTGTAATATCTATTTGTGTTAAATGCCTATTCTGTCAAATTCTACCATGGTTGCAACTCGCTCATCAAAATGAAAAAAAAAGGATTACATTCTCTCAGTAAAAAGAGTAATCCACTTCTGCAATTTCATCTCTGTGCAGAAGGACTCATTTTGTAGCAGTAATTCATCACACCAAAGGCGAAGAATGAACCAGTTTTATCCACCAAAGTAGCTCATAAATTAACCTATGTCCGTTTCAATGCAAATTGCGCAGCGATCATTCGCACGTGACGTTGGCTCGAGCAGCCAATGGGCGCTGCACCAGTCGCTCATTGGCTAAGTCGTAAATCAGACACCCAATCATATCTACCGCGGGTTAAGTCGATGAATAGGCGTATTAGCATGGCTTTGCTGGCACAGGGTCTTAACCACTAGATCGACAATTAAGCAGCATGATCTTTGTTGTTTACTGCTAAAACAATCACTTCACGCTTGGATTTACGAAGATGGGTCTTTTCAACACACCATTGTTTCCGCCTAGCCGTTCTGTGGCGTCGTCGAAGGTGATTTGCATTCGCTTCCTTTACCATGCCTATTATTTGATTTAATTATTCACTAGTAGTAATTTTTGTGGAGTCACGTATTTTCAAACGAGTGGTAGATACTTCCAACTCTGGATATTAAGATTTATAAGTGTCTCTGAGCTCTGGACTGGTGACTGTGATTTTAATGACAAACTGAACTGCCACTTCAAAAAGCACAAGAAGAATGAATGTAGGCGCGCATCGGTATCCACCATGGGCCGCAGTTCAGGTTGGCACTTTTCAGACCGTTTTTTTTTGCATATGAATAAACACGTGACTGCCGAAGTAATCTGGCGTAGTACACCCAGTCCCTGTGAACCCCAACCGATTTACCATTTGTTCCGTTTCACTCTCTTCCCCATGGCACATGGTCAAAAGATCCTTATAATATCAGTCTTTTCACAAACCCTAACAGTGTCGACTCTATTAACACCGAAGCTAATCGAATCAGTCAAGTATTCACGCTCATCGCAAACTAGGTGCATAAGCCAACATCCAACTATGATCAGATGAAAATTTCTTTTCTCTGGCGCATTTGCAGAACAAGTATGAAGTGTTACACCAAAAGCTGGAGAGTTTTGTTTAATAAATTGCGTAATCACCGCTTAGTGCCATGTTGCTCTTCACAATTGCAACTGAGGTTAGGTGAATTTTTATGAAAAATAAGTGCAAATAACCAAGTCGTTTGCCAAAAGCCATAGTATGCAATATCCTACCCGTGTTTTATAGTAGCCGAGATCTTGACCTCCTACAATAATGTTTGAAAGTGAGATGTGGTTCTTCACTAAAATGCCCCAAATATTTCACGTCAACTACTTGAAATTTCGAATCTGCATACTGATAAGTCGCTTTGCTTTTAGCTGTTCATTGTCTACGGGAGCACCGATGTTAATAACGCACACCATCGCAATTTTTATTTGTAGCCACCGTTTTAACGCTCAAAAGAGCCTTTTTCTTACGCTGGTAGTGTGGAACCCCATAAAAATTCCTTTTTCATTGCACTCTCCTTCGTAAAATGAGAGCCTGACCCTCTGATCTGATAGGTTATTGTCATGTGTAAGAGATTTCTCATAAAAGTAGTGCTATAAAATGGCACTACTTTCCAAGGCATTCCGATAAAAATGAAATCTGTGCTTGTATTCAAAGCTTTAAGCAGCTTTGACAGGGTGAATCCGCATGAAACGATGCACAAGTTGGGTAACGTAGTCCCCGATCCCAATTGTAGGTTTGTGAATAGATGACAGATAGGAGCAGTTGCTTCAAGGCAGAGATAGGCATGGTTTCCATAGGGGAAGCAGTGGGGACGCATCGAATTCGGTGACTCACGTGGTGCCATCGGTGAGTGATACGTCTCTTTCATCTCTCACAGACATGCATCCTCCGGATTTCAAGCAATTTCCAGACAATTTTTTTCTATGATTCTAAGAAATATGAAACATACACTTAGAACTTTATGGTGCACTGCTTTATTGAATAAACGCCTGTTCAGTTTTGGATGATTTCGCTCTAATAACTTTGCACAATCCTTGATAGTACTAGATGCGGTGATGTTAAAAGTGTCAAACGAAGACGAACTAAAGCCTAAATGGTTTTATCACTTAATTGGGGGGATGACTCAGGTTCATGAGAAGTACCGTTGAGGTCATTTGATCGAGTTTCTACGTCCTAATACCTCTCTCTTCGGAAATCTGTTACATTTCTTCGACGGTTTTGTTATGATTAGTCTTCAAGTAGATTCACCCAGTTATTCATGCGGAAAAGACTCTTTACTTCGGAATGTGGGGGAAGGGTTACTCAATGGATCGTTCTTTCTGAGATGCAGCCCAGCGCTAGAAACATCCAGGCACTCTCGATGCTACCAAGACGGGAAGTAGGACAAACATACATGTGCCACATGACGAAAGTCGGCCGTTAATTTAAAGCATTCATTGAAACTTTCCAACCCAGAGCGGTAGTTTGTTTATACCTTAAATTGACAGACGCCACCGCGGTTTCCGTACTAATTGAAGGAGAGTTGCATTTTAGGCTTTATTACACATAAACGCGTCCTGTATTAATCCTGGAGCGTTCCTGGTATGGACTGAATAGTGGCTCGGCAAAATAAGCACCCCAGAAGTGGGTTTCAATGTGTTCTCATCGCTCTGGATTATTTTATCCTCAACACAAGATTCATTGAAAATAAATTCCTGACATAGGGGTTTATAGAAGTAGGCTCCTGATATAAAAAGCTTGTCCACTTCATAGAAACACTTGAATTGCAAAATAACAAACGAACAGGACTAAAATACTCTCACAGTTGATAAATTTATTACTCTTAGAGTGGATAATTGGCATATTGCTTAGCGTGATGTTTTCGTAGTAAGATCATCTACCAACTTTGGGTTTGGAGGTGAGCCACTCAAGATCCTACCCCCCAACTTTGTTCTTATAGGAGGCCTTGCAATGTCTATATTGTTGACGTGATCGAAGATTACATTTGTTTTTGACAATTTTGTTGAAGAAATGTACAATGATTTAATTTATTTGAAGCCAACAACAACTAATACGTGCAAATAAAATGCTGTGTCTGTCTGGATTGTTTTGAAAATTGTCACCTAGGGTTGAAGAAACGTGTCACAAAGCTTGTAGCATACTTTTCCTCTCCACTACTTCATCTTTTTTCTTGCAACGGGAATGTGAGTGTCTAGGTGAAAATGACACCTGCATTTGACTTTAGTCGAGCCACGTTGGGACGAGAATAGTAGCACCCTGCCTGTTCACGCTCATTTGATGTCTTCAGGGCTGACAGCCAGGAGGCAGCGCATGTGCGGGGTACAGGGCAATAAAGTGGTAAACAAAGTTAAATGTCTCCGCGCCTTTTTTGGAAGAATCTCCGCCGTTAATCTCCCATGCAGCTAGACCTTACTTAAGAGTATAAAAGCACGAGAATGAAAGAAAGTAATTGAAAATTTTTACTCTTGGCAGAGCATCGGGAGAAGGCACCACAGGCACCTACGATTGTCACGTAATGATTTCACCATTGAACTTTGGAATGAACAGGCGGAGTTTTTGGAGTCAATTTTTTTGCTGAAGTTCTGGATATTTTATTCAACCACAATTAAAGTAGATTATATGCATATCAGGAAGGTAATTTTAAGCGAGACGGGCCATGTCGTAACAATCACGTAGACCCAAGAGTAGTTACTAAAAATAACCCAAATGACGACCAATCTACTCTTGAAGGCAGGCAGAGATGTCGCAATATCGCCACAAGCAAGCGGTTTTAGTACCTCTGCTGATGAGCAAATATGCCAAATTTGGCACGAAAAGCGGAAAGAAAAAGTTGACTTTGTGTAAGCAGGGTAAGAACAATTAAATGCTCTTGTGGAATCGGCAAAAGTTTGGAACCTTCAGCGTATTATGGGTAGTTTGGAAACAGTTGTGGCTATACTTTGCTGAATCATGAATGTCCTCTAAAGATAATTCTCGATTGCTTTTCCTATATCAGTGGCGATAACCAATCAGGAGACACACGTTAGGTGCTCACGATCCATGGGCTCCTTGTCAACTTCCGTCTTCTTGAATTCACCTAAATCCACTGATTCTCTATCCTTTCGTTAAAAATACTCCAGCTATTAACTCGGTCAATAGCATATCCTTCGAATAATAATTGTAAATCAACCATTTTTATGTATTTAAAAATACTAACTTCGACTGTTATGAATCATAATTTCGACAGCTTAGCTTCGAGGATATTTATTTCCCTTTCTAATCGTGCATAGTGGAATCAGTAGATGACTACAAATATTCAAGAAAGATGTGCCTTATAGCCTGTGGTAGTGGTGATAGTGTTAGTTGCAATATGCGCCTGTATGCAACGTTTTATGCACTAAAGTAATTGCCATTATGATCACTTGGCCCCATTGTTGTACTGCGTGTTGGAAAGTTGGCTCTCAGGTTGCGTGGATAGGCATCCACTCTATCGATGTCAAATTAATCACCTCAAGGAACGCCAACTCTCATGCCGTTTTAGGTGGGAGGATCATACTCAATGGTCTCCAAAGTGGACGCAGGTTCATTTCATATCTCTTCTCATTCAGTGGGATGCCCACTTTACTGCTTACTGGTGGAGATTTTGAGAAGTATAGTCGATGACATAAAATGCATGGACCAGCTAAATCCACCTTTTGGAACGGGCTTCATTAATGGCAATAGTTAATCTGATGTATTCACAAAACTGTGATGAGTCTGTGAAAAAGTTCGTTACTGTGCAATGGGGAACTAATTTCCAGAACGAAAAATTACTTGAAAAGTAGTATACTTGTTTAAAAAGGTATGGTTGCCTGATTTGTATCCTATGGTGAAATTTTCTGCCCATCTTTTCAGTTCCAAAAATGCCTCATACCCCTTCCTGACTTTAAGCTTACTAGACGTTGGAAGAGGGCTCGAATGAAAGCTCCTCAAGCATGCGCATTGGGACGTTCCATAGCCCAATAAATTGGTAAATGCTCATGATTCCAACGATCAGCACATTCAGTTGTGGAGTGTGACTCATATTACCATTGAAGCAGCATTTTTGACGAACTTCTTATAATTCTTTTTTCCTAGTGAATGAAAAGTACGTTTAACTTGAAAAAAAGTCGCGAAAATGTCTACAAACAGTCCATTTCTCCACTCTGATTTTACAATCGAATCACCCGAGTTCCTGAGGAAACCGCCCTCCCTTCAACTGTCATGCAGATCTTCGGTGAGTTGAAAATAGCTTTGCTGAGTTTGTTGATTTATTTGTTTGCGAAAAGTTTGTGTAACTTCCACGTATCGCGCATGTTCCTAGCCCCTTTAAAAGTGACACTGGCAATTATTTGCGGAATCCCCGTCTCACTTTAACGTCACTATATTTATTATGTAAATGCAAATGTTAGACTGCTTACTTTTCCCGACTATTTTGTCTAGTTACTCGTTAATCGCATTTATCCTCCAATTTTTAGCCTGATTTCCAGCTACTATGAGGAGTTATTGGTAATCATTTACTTAGTTGCAATCGAAGTCACCGCTATACATTAGGTGGCCAAAAATCTTTGTGAAAGCTTTGGCACACCTTGATACAGTGACTTACCTTAGCTTTTAGGCATCCGTAAAATGATTAACTAAATAATTTGATTCTGGCGATGAACCACTCTAAGGTGGTAGACGCATCATGTTCATGAGGGTCCTCTTCTTAATACCAGACAATCATGTGTCGCTGTCGATGTAACTACTTTGAAGTTCATGTGACACCTGCATCAGCAGACCATGCATTAGCAGATGTTTGTGGGCTTCCAAAGCCATCCAATATGTTCTTTACCTTATTCACGTACCTTATAAAGGATTATTTGCCAACCGGTGAGGAGAGGTGATTTCTGTAGTTCGACGTTCGCTATCCCCAAACGATCCACTCACTACCCACCCCACACTTCCAGAGCACGAATAACTTTATCTCCACAAGGTGAAGAACAAAATGGGTCTATGATGGACAGCAGATGCAATTGTTCTTGTTCAAGGTCTGGCTACTTGATAAAAGTCGATGGTGTATAGGAGAGGCTTCTTCGGGAAGAGCCAGAATGGTTGATCAGTCAGTTGAAGGAAGGTTCAATTCAAAATCTCTCAACAAAACGCGAGACCCCGTATATTGGAAAACAGGTCGTGTGAAGATACGCACTTTTGGATGAGAGGGTGGAGAAGAGCGATAGGGAGGCTGCGCCCTAGTGGTATTACCCACCAAGCAATGAATATCACGACTGGACGTTAGACGGCCACCTTATTAAGTAAAATACAAAAAGGACAGCTTAGAATTAAGGGTGAGGTGGAAGCGGATGTGACTGGGGCTTTTAGAAGCAATATATATTGTAGAAGTGGAGTTTGCAGCATACTTATGTCTTGTTTGGGAAGAGTGGTAAATTAGAATAGCGATTATTTCAACGAATAAAGTGTTATTACGAAGTTCTCTGCAGTTGTTTATTTTTTCTATGATAGAAAATCAGACAAGCATGCTTGATTATCTCATAGCTGTCCAGCACATTTGCCACCTAATTGCCATTTACGAAGGAGCAGTAAATTGCATTCCCGCCTTCATCACTCATCAGTTCCACTCCTTAAACATTTCCGTGTTTACCATCAAAATCAGACCCATATTTCGGGAAAAGGCTGTACAGGTAAACGAAATGACATGCGAAGTTCCCATGACAAACCTAGTTTTGTGAAATGGTAAACACCCCAGATTCTACGGATGGCAATCTCTGATGGCTAAATTCGCCCAAACAATATGCAGGATCACCAACAGGCTGATACCGGGTTGTTTATTCACTAACTCATGCTGTGTTGGCCAGATCTATTAAAGGCCTGTGTCAAAATAAACATACGTAGACCGCAGGCTGTACTTTGAGTGGACTCGCCATGGCCTTATCAGTGGCAGGCCTACCTGATGCAGATCTACGCACTTCGAGGTTGGTGGAGAGGTGCGATCCGTAAACGACGCCATCTCGTCGACAGAACATGCGGAGGCAACATGCTTAATGTGACAAATAAATAAATAAATGACCACGATATTGAGACATCAAAACACTGGTGAGGTGATTTTTTAGCTTTTTCTTAGCAATACGAACTACCTAAACTTGGATGTGATCAACTTAGTTGGAGTATGCAAATGCGGTGCAAAGCTTAGTATATCCAAATACTTGAGCTGATGGATTCTAGCACAGCTTATACCTTTTCTGTCTTAATTCCTTATAACTGTTTCAAGTATTGCCTTATCTACAATTCTTTTAACATCTCAGTGAATCGAGAATTTCGTCCAGAGTTGAAGGTAGATTGTCTCGTTTGTTAAGAAAAAATTTTTTGTAAATAAAACAAATTACTGCTCTTCCAACCATGAATAACGCGATCCCTTCTCTCAGTTTAAATAAAAACAAAACGATTCCTCTCAAACTGAATAGATTTCTATAATTAGCTTGGGCATGTTTAGTTTGTAGGAAGGAAAAAGCGGATAGCTAGAAAGAGGCTTTAAGCATTTTGGTCTATTTTAGAACTCGTCATTGAAGTCTACCTGTTCAACAAATGACATGGAAACAGCTTCCCTCTATTCGGAGGAGAGTAGCGGCTTTCGCCAAGGTTCGGAATCGGACACGGTGATTCTCTGTTCCAACGGAAATTCGCATTCCTCTTCGGTCGCGACGCAAATGGTGGGTGGTGTTGCGATAATATTTACCCAGAAATTATTTCAAATCATTCAAGTATTTTTCATCTTCTAAGAATCTCCTAGTACTTTTTCTATCCAACTTGGTTCTCACATTTTATGAAATTTCAGTAATTCAGTATAACCTTTTGCCGTTGGAAATATTCCCTTTATTATTACTGTTGTCTGTTTCTATGGTTACTTACTGGACTCCTGTTTGTCATACATTGTGTGGCTGCAATATGAAGCCTACCATGTTTCACTCATGTGTGCATTTCTAAAACAACATTTTTTTGGAAGTACTAAATGAGGCAACCAAATTTTACAAGTCATTCCCGCCATGCTGGCGTTGTTTAAATTAACAGAATCGAGTGCAGAGCAAAATAAAAATGAGATTGTTTTCCGACTCACAAAAGAGTAATTTCAATTATGCAATACGTGTGATTATTTGGTACGCAGCACCCCGAGACCTCTCTCTGAGGACAAAAGAAGACATAATGCTTGGGCAGGGTATGTATTTTCCACGCACAGAAGGGCTGAGGCCTACTAGCATGTCCCGAAGGACATCCCGCTCAGTGGAGGCATAGTGGTGGAGGCCTAAATGGCCTGTTACCAGGACCGACATTTAAATAAACAATTAAAGTATCGCATAGCCCCCCTCTCCTCTTTTGAGTGTCGTCTTTGGAGCTCTCATTAGTCAACCTCCTACGTTGGCCGACACAACTTAGTCGGTGGTGGAAAAAGAAACACCCAGAGGCCAACCACATTAATCACTGAATTTGCATGTAACTGAGAAGACATTTAACTGCAAGGCCACTGATTCCTCCTCGTAACTGTATTGGGGAAGGGGGAATGTGCCAGTCATCTCGTATGTCCACCCCTAGTGGCAGGAACACCGGCCCAAAAGCAGTCATTTAATAGAGAATGAGGTTTGAAGTAGTTTTGCAGGGATAAGGCTTCCTTCTTGCCACTTTGTTCTCACTTCATTGCTATCGAGCCATATCCCTCGGAGTTCATTCTACCTAGTAGAGAGGAGGCGGCATCGCGTATTCACATAGTTGATGTCTACATACAGGTACGACAGACATCTTTGTAACGAACTTGTCCAGATGGTTCATGGCCACAGCTACTGCCGCTTCATTTTTTAATAGCATTCCTGCAGAACGCAAAATTGGGGTAGTTGCCGAGTGTAGATGCCATTTTCAGCCCTTTTGTCAAGGGTCGACGTATTCTGCCATCCGCAGAATACACATTTCTTCTGTCGTGCTAGGGTTCATCACCCAGCGGTGGAAATCAGGATAGATGTCTTTTAAGATCGCGTTTGCTTTCCCTTGCCACCAGCATAGCGTGCCGAGACTTTTCTGAAGATGAAGACATAATGCAGGGGCAGAACATGTATTGTCGACATGCAGAGAGGCTTGGGGGTTATTGGCATGGTCCGAAGGCCCTCCACCCGGCGGAGGTAGAATGACGGAGCCCTAAGTAGCCCGTTATCAAAACCGTGTGGTTGATTCCGCAGGTTGTACTGTACTTTCACTTTGCAGTATTGCCTTTGGACCGTGCCAATGGCATCCCACCTCTTCCTTATGCTGGTAATTTATGTTCTGCCGTATTACTTGGGCTTATTACGACCTCGGGGCAGAATCGAACGCCACAGCAAATTTTAATCCTCAACAGAAGAGTTGGACTGCGATTGTCTATAACAATTAATAAACAAGGTCTAGCACCTGCGAAACGTACAACTTTACTACTTTTTTGCAGGTTAAAATGCTAGCCTATATAACGTTGTCCTGGCCTTATTTTGCAAACTGATGAGATATTTCTTGCGCTCCACGATGGACTTATCTGGGAAAACCTAATTTTAGTAGATATGGTCATTTAAAAGTCGAAAGTACCTCATATAGCACTTTTTATTCTTTAGAATTCCCAGAGTGCACAATGCACAAGCAGCGCTGTGGGGTAAGAAAATTCTTCACTTTCTTGTAAATGCCTCCATTGTAAGCTTTTTTTAAACATTGACCTCCTGTCATCTCACCTTCATCTATTGTATTCGTATTAAACTGAATGTAAACGCCTTTAATAACCCACTCCCTGAACATTATCCAGTTATAAATGAGAGGTCTTGAGACGTCTCACTGATTGAAAGCGCGACCAGCCCTAATAGTGAGATATTAAGTAGAGGCAGGTTTTTTATTCTCAAACCTGCATTGTTGCAGATAGGATGAGCTACATACACCACTTCTACGGTTCCTTTGAAAGTATGCTAACAGGGTTTTCTTCACTCCATCGAACCCATAGAAAAGTGATATTTTAGATGAATTGGTCGAATAACAAAATGCACTTTGCAGTCCCAAAATATAAGTGGAGATAGTTGAAGTTTGGTGTTGTTTAATCTTCGTGATATCAAATGAGTCGGGAGTTCACTGAGGTGACTTTATATAATCTAAGGTAAGCTATTTTTCTCATTCAAATAAGTTATTTTCTTTAGTTCTCCAAATTACAAGTGGGTTTTTCGATCCCTGTGATCTGATAACTTTCCCTACAACGGTAGAAATGCAGTGATGAGGGTGGGATATCCATCTTAATAGTTGTGCACGTAGGAAATGAGCTGCATATCAAATCTTAGGAAGAATTTGCTTACCCATTATGAAATTTACCTGCGGTATTAACACTGCTTACAATAAATCACGTTTGCCACTTGCTAGTAACTTCGAGTTCGGTTAAAAAGCCATGTGTGAAGTCAAAAACTCTTAGATAAAAATGAAATGCAAGATATAAACACTCCAAGATAGTTTTAAGAGAACCTTTAGCTAAAAGGTGTCACTACCAGATGTACCCTGGCAAAGAATTACAAGCTGGTGTCCGGACTTACGACGAGGACGATGCATTATCCCATGCCTCAATTTTACTTGTTATCAACCACAGCCTATTAGATGAATGATTTGCCCTCCTTTGTCTCGGTGATTTTAAATAACTAACATTTTTCTGCTACGAGTAGCTCAGATACCGCATCGAACTGGGAAACCGACAGAACATCGAGAGGATCTCGACTTGATCAAGTCCTCGATCGGGTTTTCGGTAAATGTCTTTCTTACGAATTTGGAACTACAAATACTAATCCGTATGTTTTGAATTATTTAATTTACTTGAACATCACCACTGAAAGGTAGACCCTTGTAGCTTCCAAAACGCTACTGGGCTGCAGACACTGATTAGTGGATATTTTTTTTTTAAAATTCTTGTCTTCTTTAGTCCAAGTATCTCCGGAAGGTGATATTAAAATCAACCATCTCGCCTGTCTTGCCCACATTCAAAAGGTGATTGGCGAAACCATTCAAGGTGCCCGAATTCTCGTAAGTGAGGTCACTTCTGCTTCCTCATTCACCAGTGGAAATTTCTCGCTGTGAAAAACTTTCCACCTGGTTAGGTGTTAAGTTACCAAGTAGTCAACCAATTTTAATATTCCTTAGTGAAAATTCTCAACTTGACTTTTTTTTGTTAGGTGGATAAATTGATGTTGGCTTGAAAGCTATTCTAATTTAAGGACTTTTCTCATTTAGCTATTAGAAGGAATTAGGATGAAGATACTATGACAAGTTGGAAATTTTCTAACTGTGGTATAAAAACTAGTAAAGTACTACTCGTTAACCTGAACTTTACGGCATTTTTCTTTTTCTTCAGGTTTTCAATTGTCAGGACCCTGACCCTAATGTGACTGAAATGTTTGATCAGGTCAGCTTTTGGTCTTAAGGTCAATATTTAAAAGTCAAGTTTTAATTAGAAATGGAAGCCTCACTAAGGCAGTATTGAGCCACTTCTGGCAAAGTGGTATTGGTCACGCTTTATGGAAGAAAAGCCGATTTCTAGTAGTGTATTGCGCTATGCACAATGCTTGCAAAGTGGTCGAGCTCACGAAAGTAGTGTCTGGACTACAAAAAAATAGCTTCATTCTTCCATCTCTCACCAAGATATTGTCACCCGTTGTCCGAAATGACAACTGCCCTGACCCAATGCACTGTCGAAAGTACAAGTCAACGATCACAGTGGTTACAACAGCTGCTGTACTTGTTGCCATCTTGGCTTTATGCTGGCAACCAAGTCTCTGACAAGGGGTATCTCTTCTACTTGCACTTTTTCTGGTTGGGCTTGGTTACATATTACGTAAATTCTCCTTTGCTTGGCACATTCTTAAACATTTCCCAGTATTTATGAGTCTGTAATGAAGAGGAGACGGGTTGAGTTGGATGGATGGATCTGGAATGAGTAAACCTGAAATGAGCATGAAGCACTTATTACCAAGCCCTTCTCGATTTTTAAACTCCAGACCGTCGACTGCTGCTTTGACCTCAATTCGATACCCGACCTCCAGTCGTTCATTCGCTTTTGCGAGATGTGCTACGATTGGCTGGCGAGTAGCAACTCAAACACCGTACTTTTTCATGCGGAGAGTCCCACCGCAACTAAACGTTTGCTCTTGCTCCTCTTCGCCTACGCCTGTTTCTGTGATTCCGTTGAAAGGTAAAAAACTACTCTGCAACAAGTTTCTCCGTTTTGTTAAACCTCCCATTACTTCAGCAAAATGTGTAAAGATAAATTTAATTTGACTTTTGATCCAAATGAAAAGTGTGAAGCACATACGGTCTCTAGATGAGGCCACCAAATTCATGCAGATCTGTTTCGTCCACTTTAAACAAGCTAGAACAAGTCAGTTAGGCCACGGCTATTCTTTCTCAGGTCAGCATCAAAACGTATTTTAACCATGAAAACTTCCGACAGATGAGCTTTGACCAACTAGATAAATTTACTGCGACGCCTCAATAGGGTGTACTAAAAAGGTCCTGAGGTAGACATGAAATATTCGTTCTCTTTGGCAACACAGAAGTTGTGAGCATCATTTCTAAAGCCGGTTTACTTTGATGTTTTGATGGTAGAATCAGTTCATTCACTCCAATTAATATCATTTTGTTTGAAAAGACTAAAATACTTGTTTACTTTGCATAAACATACCCCTTTGTGAAGATCCTCCCAAAGGACTTTCATTCCTTGATCTGCCATCCAGTTTACATCCGGCCATAACACATTTTAATGAGGTTCGCTCTCTCGCTAAATTTATAAGTTTTGCTGTCAAAATTTCCGAGCTCACCACGCAGACGCTTTGACTTATTTCGGTCACGTACCAAGATCTGAGAATCAAAGAAGGATTCTGCAAGCAATTCTATCAATTAGGGCGCTGTTGATTAAGGAAGACAAATGATGGGAGAATAGAGCAAATGTGTCGGCGTTCCTACTCATGATGCAAAATTAACAGATACAAATTCTCAATCCACTTTGTTGAAGTGTTGCCACATCACAGTGAATCAGAAGTCGACAATTTTACCACTCCCAAGTTAGGCAAAACATGTGATCTGAGGCGAATCAGAGATATGTATATGCGTTACTGGTGGAAGTTTATTCAAAATTTCCTTTGGTTTTTTAAAATATGACGCCTTATGACAATATATCCAGAAGTACTGTAGTCCGGACGTCACCAAGTGTCGAATTGGTGTTTACAGGAGCACAAGAGATAGAGTTAAGCTGGTCGGGAAAAGACCATTTTCATCTGCTGAATCGGATTACGTTTGCACGTTGGCTAAGTGCGGGTTGCAATGCTACCGACTGGTGCGTAAGAAGCAACACCCAAAGGGTGTGGTAGATGAGTTGGCTGGAGAAGGCCACATTAGTCACTGCCACCGCCGGCGATGATGGTGCAGCTGTGACGGCAGCGAAGTCACCATCGTTCAAGCTCAACATGTCGGATCGTGTAGAGAGATGCGACAGACCGGAATTATGTTTTGTCAGCCACTGTCAAGGCATCTTCTACAGTCTTCCACGCGCATCAAGTAGTCACAGATCGGCATATTAGCTTTTCTGTTATGTTGGACAACCCTAACTTTGCGTAAATAACTCAAAATTTCGTCTCTTTTTCCATTTTCACCATCTATACGTGAAAGTCCAGTGAGTGACGTATTGTTCCACCCTACTTCTGAGGCATCATGGAAATGAGTTTAACCATGATCGAGTGATTGACATAGTCTGATACTGAAGTTCTCAGGTAATAGAATCATTCCAGGCATTTAATTTTCGGATAACGCAAAGATGAATAATGGACTTTATTTTATCCACACATTGCCACAGCTCAGCTCAAGCATTTGCTTGGTAATTTAAACTAATCAGGACACGTCGTTTATTTATCTCTTGTGGCACTTAATTTCTAAACAAACGTTATGAAATCTGTCTACCAGTTAGCAAACTATAGGATGGTTATTCCCTGTGTTTACTTAATACGCCCTCAGAAACTGTTTTTTTTCTCTCCTAATGACAAACCAATGATAAGAAACCTAGTCTCTTACTTTCTGAACGCATCGAGATTGCGCCAATGGGTTTAACCTGTCAAGGTCGGAGGTAAAGGGAGTATCACCTTTGCCAGATATGTTGATGAGTCATGAACGGGTAGGAAATGTCAGGTTTGCTGTCCACATAGGATTGAGGAAAGGCAGAGAACTGGAGGGTTGAAATGAGTTTAATTTTCGCATTTAGGCAAAACATTCGAACCAGCAAACGCCTGAAAGCCTACCTCTCCGCCTATCCCAATGGGAGAACCAGCGTTCCAGTTGTATATTTACGGTGAGTTCAAGCACGGCGCAGTCAAAATGCCGCAAACACTTTCCGACGCCCAATTTAGCCACTTTATGGTATCTTATAGATATTCAACCTACATGAAGATTTTCACCCCCTTCCGTCGTCAGAGTATTTCCAGGGCAACCATGTCCGTCTATTCCGTTGTTGTACACAACTGTCCTCTATTCACCGATCATTCCGCCAGTATTTTCTTTAAATTCTACTCCTACTCTCCTCTGCGACATGTCTACACAACAGATGTACAGTAAGTGAAAAAAACTTCCTATCTAGAATTTACTTACCTCCTCACTGTTTCAGTAAATTAACCGGACGAATAAGTGAGAGGGCAGTTTTGCTGTTTACCGAGGAGCCGATATCGCTGAGAGGCAACGTGATAGTCTTGTGCTATCGGCTCAAACCGGAGAAACTCGAAAGGAGACGTGTTTTCAAGTGAGTTGGCGATTAATCAGGTAGAGGAAACCGTTGGCTAACGACTTTGGAAATAGTTATGCAGTGCGCTAGCAACTAAACACATTTGTGCCGTGAGGTTAACTATTAAACTGTGAATTGTATCTGTGTTGCGTTTAAGTTTTCAAATCTAACCGTAAAAATGCGCTCTATTGCCGTGAAATACACCGAAATAGGAAGAAATTTTGGGAGAAAATTTAGTTTATTTGCATAAGGATCAGTCATCAATGAACATCTGCTCAGCATAGTGACTCGAATCATGCATTTCATTGAAATCGCTCCTTTTAAATTTTTTAATAATTTCTTTTTCGGAATTGGCATTGTAGACTCACATTCCATTCCTGCGAGGGTCACAAGCAAATGTTGACCTTCAAATACGATGCATTTGACGAAATTTCGGAAGGTAGTTGATCATATTTCACATAAGCACTCCTTAATTATTTGACGCTAAACCTGAAACTAGTACTTTCCTACTTAGCCGTACCAGCCACGTTTAAAATGGAACTCCATCTAACGCCAGTGATGGATGACAAGTCGGGTAAGTTGAAGCTGGAACATGTTGGCTATTATAAGACATTGCACAAAACCGACTTATTGCTTCCCAGTTCCCCCAGAAAGTACCATCGGAAATAACTTTTTTCTGGAAAATACCAAGAAAATCCGCCATCGGAACAGTCAACACCTTCCGTTGGGTGACAGTATCGATCCGCTGAATATCATCGAATCACGAGATATCCCATTGGAGGCAGTTCGACTTTCCGACTCGTTAGAAGATATCGACCATGTACCTAACCGGTCGAGTCTGCTGGCAAACACCCAGGTATTGGAAGAAGTCAGTCGTGAGCTAGTGCGGAACCGCAATCAAACATTCAACGACTTCTTTATGAACGCCTGCGGTCGGCAGGACGACAAACAGTGGGGTTTTCCCGTGCACTTTAAACGATACGCTTCAAAACAGCCTCCATCACCGGACCTGCGAGGCCTGAAGGTCTCAAAAACCTCTGTAGAGGATTGGCCATCCAACTACGAAATGTCAGATAGAGGCAGCATCGATTCTGGAGCTGGTCTGCATTCGGATGCTTCAGGTGGTAATTATTATTTCTACTGAAAGATATCAGTAGAGTTGTGTGTTTTTCAATTGCAGGGCGTGCATTTCCATGAATTTTGTTACAGATGCGTCTGAGAGGAGTCTGAAAAGGCTAACCAAGATCGGATTGACGAAAGTTAAGAAGAAAATCAAAGGTAATTGAATTCGTCTTTAAAGCGCTAAAATGTCTCAATTAACGCGTTGCCTAGGTACTAAATTTGATGTTGATTGTAACATCAAGATACGTCAATATCCCACAAAAATAATTTGGTTTATACATGCAAACTTTAATGAAATAACGCGTTGTTATTATGTCCTGATCAGCAAAATGCGAAGGAAAATAATTACCTACACTTGACTGCTTTGGCAGTAATTTTGAATAAATGAGGCAACTTTACACGGATTGACTTTGAATAAAAAAATATCCCCAAAAGTGTTAAAATTAAGGTGGTGTGGCGAAGTGCTTTTTCGCATTTGTATAACAGCGGAATTCTCAATTTTTGGGAGGAATTCCACTTTGCATTGGTTACATGGTAACTTATCATTAATTTCCCTTGATTGTGTTTTGATTATTCATTTTTTTTGAAGCCTAGCTTTAAATATAAACATCGAAATTTTCGAGTCAAATATTAACAACTTTCTATTACTAAATGCGAGAAAGGATCCATGTAACGGTATAGGCGTCGCCCACACACTTTGTACTACTCCGAAAACATAAAAGCGTATGGACACAAATTTTTTCTACTGGATTTTACAAACGATATTAGGACTTATGAACATAACCCATAGTCAAGTATTAGCAAGTATTCAATTTCCATTACACCTTTAAGTTTGCAAATTAAAAGTCAACAGCCAAATTTGCGATCCATTTGCCTTTTAATGCAAATACTTTCCTAAACTTCGTGATAGGTGTTATTGACTTGAAAAAACATAAGTCCCCAAAGCACAACAAATCCAGCAATGACGAACAACTGATGCCTCCACCAGTAAGCAGTGTGGTCCCCCATGCACGAACTGAAAAGACGACTCCAAAATCGGTGGCCTTTTTGAATTCCACCCCAAAGAGGGTGCCACCTCCACGGCCTCCACCACTAAAAGTGGCGGAGAAAATGGACACCAACGAAGTGGAGAAGGAGCGGCAAGGTAAAACCCCCGCCGGTGTTCGTAGCGTTCCTACGCGATACTTTGGCCCACTGGAAAAGTATCAGCGGGTGGCTGAAAAGGATTTCGCCGGTGGTGAGTGACTGCCATGTTCTCAAGTTAGCGAGACAAGAGGAGATAATCTTAATCAATCATCTCATTTTCCAATGATCAGGAGCATTTTCATCCTTGACTGTTTTCATAAATCAGGATCCTCTGTTTCATCTTAGCCCTACCTTGGAACATTTAAATCACGTTAGTTAGAGCGTGGCTAAGTGTTTTGGTGTTCATGGTACATTAAATTAAAAATTTTCTCATGGATAAGTGGTTTTTGCCGAGAACTTGTTGGTTTTCATTTTTGAACGACTTTCATTCGGACGTACCTTATAAAAATTGCGCAAACGCTATTACATCCATTGACTGGAAAGGTGTCAATGAATTTGCGATTGGAGCTACAGAAAAGATCGTAACGCCGCTATTCAGCAGTGACCAATTAATTGAATTTTCTCAGATCAGAAATGTCAAAAGCTACTGGGTGCCTTAGGATTCTCGTTTTTCCTAATTTTTTGGTTTCAAATAAGGTAGACGCTGAAAAAATGACGCCCTAGTTCTATAGAAAAGGTACACATAGGTCTCCATAGCTTCATATTTTGCATTCACTCAAATCATATGCGATTGTAATCTTACATTGAAATATTCTAGCTGATGGTTTTTTTTGTGATTGGGTTCAATGGGTACAACAAAAGCGCCATTTTTATCAGTGGTGTCGTGCCCCTTCATGTGTAGCTGTTACACAAGTGCTGGGAATTCCAATTAAGTAGGACCGCCTAATTCAACTGCAGACGAATGAGGAGTTCAGTGGCATAACCTTCGTCTCGACGGCACATGGTAAATGGTGTAATATAAGAATATCAGGCTGTTGTAAACATCACGACATTAAACATACCTTCCTTTTTCAAAGTATTAGCCCAAAATTTGTGCAGTATTGGGAGGTGCTTCCAAAATCACTAACACGTTATTCCCCTGGCGAAGCGTTCTACTTTGATTGGCAGCGGCTGAATGGCAGAGTTCATTTGGCTTCTCGGTGCGGCCGTAAGAAGTGGGAGTCTTGTGGTGTTTTGATGGCTCAGTGAATATGTGTGAGGTTAGCATGGTTACAGCGGTGAGGGCTCGTGGTCGCGTGGGTTTAGCTGCATTGCCAATTGCCGCGAGACGCGCTCAACCAATTAGTGGCTCCCAATGGCACACGCAAACGCACAGAGAGAGACAAATAAACGCTTGATTTGAGCATTGTGATACATTTGTACCCACCTCAGCGCATGCCTCAGTAACCTGCACAGGATTTATGCCTATAAGAGGAGTAATTGGCCCGCAAGTTTGGAATCTGTTCTGAAGGAGGTAGGTGAGTTTTGTAACCGACTTTCATCTAAATGCCCCACGATTTCTGCGTTACTATTTTAAGCACAAATAACTTTAGAGCTACTCTGAAATGTTTGATATCCCCCTAACAGCAATCACTTACCATCATATTCTTCGGTTTTGCTCTAGGGTTCTTGTTGAATGGGTTCAGATTCAATGTACCTGCAGTTAGAGGGCATTTCATGCTTAAGTTTGACTTATGAACTAAAATTATTAAAATAATGTAATAGCGTGAAGCGATGGGAATATTTTAGAGTACATAAGGCTGCAATGTGGGTGTACAATAACCATCAACTTCTATTTACGAATTTAGATGATTACTGTGAGAAACAGTTGTTGTTTTGTATTGGGATGTAAGAAAGTGCACGATAAGCACGTCAGTTGTTCCCTCAATCTCCTTTAATAATCACACCTCGTGGGAATATTTGGGAAACTAATATTTGAATGCTTAAGTAGTTTTATGTTTTTTGATTACTGAAAATGTGAGTGTAATGTGGTTACCCTCAAGTTGGTCTTCAACTCCCCGTTAGGGAATTTAAGCAGTCGATTTGCTCAAGCATTCATTGGTTCCCCAGTAAAAGCTGTCTCGGTTTAATACTCCATGTAAGTTGTTGTATTTCCTGGTGGGGGCACTGTGCTCAGCTTTTGATCCTGTACCACATCCCAATACGTATGCACACCGCTTTCAGATCTGCAAGTCCTTGATTTCGCACTTCTCTCACAAACTGGATTAAGCAAACAATTGACTGCGTTAGTGCCTCCTTTTGTTCATCTCTGTTGGCCAGTATACACTTACTGAAGTCAGTAATAGGGAACTCAACATCCAAAAGAAATGAATGCATTCTCATGCTCATTTAGACCATTTCTTAAAATAGAAAATATGTACCAACCAGCAATGTATAACCCAACTAAAGTAAAAGTATTCATTATCTTGACAAGAAAATTTAGAGGAAGATGACTGATTCCCATGAAAAAGTAATGGGGACAGACTTTAGCCGTATAGAAGGTCTCAATCCTTGGGTCACCATAAAATAGAGGCGCCATGCTTAGCGGACTGGGGGCAATTCAGCAGTAAACAATGTGTCTTCCAGGGTATTTGATATCTTGATCGACCTTATCATTCCCAAATTCCCCCAAATGGAAGTAATGCGATACTTGTACTAAATTGGAGCCACTCTTCTTGCACTCTTCTGAAACAGATATAAACTAATTTACTCGGGCTCAACCAAGATCTTCGGCGGTATCCGACGCAATACAAAATTACGCACTTTAAATAATTTACAATGCCCTTAAATCGCTGTTTTATTTGCTGATTGTGTTACACACCTTCTTGGCAGGAACTGCTGTAACAAAATGCACTTGTAGAGACAACAGAGGAATTAGTTTTGTCATTACAATTGTAAGCTTCTTTACAGCAGAAAAGTAGCGAGTTGAACATAAATTGCTCTGTGACTACGACCGGATCCACGCTCCACTTACTTAGCTCTGGCAGACGTGAAGTAATAAGTCCATTAAATAAAAGCAAATAGAAACACAAGTCTTGTTTTTAAGTTGTACTGTTCTGAAGAATCACTAACTTGTGACAAATACCTGCAGTGACTATGATTAGTGGTGTGGCCATTTGGCCAGACTGATATGTTTACCCTTGCCCCACAGAGGCTTTTATGACGGTCGTGGTAGTTTAAAGTGGTGGCAAGATGTGCGATTTTGCATTACGATCTGTCGCGCGAATTCCGGACACCAACTTTTAGTCCCTTCAGCGTCCTCTTCCAAAGTGATACCTAAGAATTACTGATGTTGGACAATAGCGTTGAGTTGGCTTTTAAATAAAAACTGCACGACAGAGTTTGATTTTGCGATTGACAAATATTCAAACTGAGGAGCCGCCTAGAAGTTGTGCGACGCATGGCACTATGATATATGTCGGGTGTGATCCATTTATTGTTAATTCTTCTTGAAAGGCCATTCCTTTCTATTCCTTTTCTCGCAGAGAGGGTTCTCCTTTCAAGGATTCACACCTCCCCACTAATCTACCCGCATTCTTTTCAGTTTAATTCCACTGTCAGTGGTGGAGTTGGATGGCGTCATATCATTAACTAATAATAAAAGGGGTTCGTACGATTTTTTGATAACTAATTATATTGGAGGAAGTAATCACCACTATAAGCTACAGTCCATTCCCACTGAGGTATCAGCGTGCTGCGGGTTCTGCTTTCTGAAAAGTCACCTCTAGGATCAAGCAATCTAGCTTTGGTCACTTCCGTTCCCATCTGACTTTTATTTCCTAATCCTTTTTTCTATTTCATTGGTTTAATGCTAAAGCCAAAACATGGTGATAATTACTGCTTGAAGAAATACTAACAGGGGATTACAAGGGGTGAGGGTGACGACGAGGTGACATCCTCCTCCCTCCCTCCTTCCTCGCCTCACAAGTCACTTTCGCGGTACGCAGTATGAGGGTTTATGTTGTTTTGACTAGTTCTGGCCGTTTATCAAGCATACCTTTTGCTCGAATACCTTTGAGATCAAAGTTGTAATTGTTTGACATTCAGCATGAAATGTAAATTAAACAAATGCATTTGCAGCCCCCCTCCCCTACACAGTCCAAATGTATTCTTGTAGGGAAGAAGTGATGTGTGTCCTAGGAGTGTCGAGTAAAGAGTAGGTCTGTCGCTGGGGTTAAACAATTATGTGTTGGTTGTCTTAATGAACGCTGGAACGCAAAAGCCCCTTTTCATAGCGATGTAAAATGACTTTGACACTAACTATCACTCGTTAATGCATGGGATTTAAGACCAATTTTATAGTGGCTCTTGTAATTATCATCTCCCAGGTTATAAAGGTCTGAATGAAATATTTCATCGTTCACGTCACAAAAAAAACACGTTAATCTTGCTTGTTTGAAACAACAATGATAAGTAACTCTTCCTGGACAGTGCAGCCTATCCTTGAGTGATTAACCACCGGAATGAAGTTATTTAGTTAACCATCTCTGAGCGCCGCGGTCCATCGCTACACCTCCAAGGGCTTGACAACAAAGCTTTGAAGCCGAGTTGGACTCGGATCGGAAGGCAGACGAGCTTGACATCTTGTGTAATGAGGATTCAAAACGGGAGAAAGATACCACATAGCACAGATAGAGTACCGTACCGATGCAATATCAGCAGTACCGCAAATATCTGTCCATGATTTGGCATGCATGTTCCCTAAAGCTACAGCAAGTCGCTGCTTGGAGCTATGCCAATAACTGTACAGAGATTTTCAAGTACCTGTTAAGTTTTTGACATTTTAAAACTACTTTTATAACAGTCCAACTGCGTAGTTAAAATAGTTTTTTAGGATTTTGGCACAAGGCATTTCTTCACATACTTTCTACCCTGTTAAAGAGCAATGGAAGGCAGAGTATTTCCTGTAAATGTCAAAGATTATTAAAAGTGGTTTTTCCCTCTTTAACGGCAATCCTTAAGAGAAGTGTAGATATGGGTCAAGTGTCTGCGCATCAAGACACTTATGATCAATTGCCCTCATTTATCAGGAGCTTTAAGGTAAATGCAGGTCAGTTTTTCCTCGAATTTCGTGACATAATGCAATTTAAAATGCTCTAAGTAGTACCTCATTTTTAATGCGAAGCAGCTTTATTAGAGATATGGTATAGATTTTATGGATGTTGGATTGAGGAAATAATGAATTTCAACCTATTATAACCCCGTCTTGGTTACAAATAGCCGTAACTATGGCATTAGGGTGGATGGTTTTTCGGGGGCGATCTGTTTGTTAAACCTAGTATCACTCCATTTCTGGTCATCTTTATGCACAGATGGCGATTATGTTGTCCGACAAAATCTAAGGCATTTCCGCCGGCTCCTCTGTGACACACCGCAGTAAACTAATCCATGCGGAGAAGACGATTTACATTGCGCCTCGGTGTGGTGTCCATCCATCGAAACTGGAGATATAGTTCTTGCAGCATCATTGCGTTTACTGTGGTCACCACTGTAACTTCAGAATTTGCTCTGATAATACAATAAGCTTGGAAGCACTTTTTCTAATAGTGCACTGAGGGGCTGAAAGACTACTGGCCTAGGTGACATGAGTGAAACGCAATTACACCAGTGCGTTGATTGAATCGCGTTGCTTTAAGACCTTGAATCTTTTTTCGGGAGACGCTACAAAGTTATTTAGTTTCAGTACAAGTCTGCTTTGTTGGAGCCAAAAATGCCAAGTTAAGGGCTTTGATTTATCGTTGTCTGGTTTATTTCCTTGAAGCTTGCTAATTTTACTGCATTCGCGAACCGTGCTGGATGCCAAGGGAGATAGGCTGAATGAACAATGAGGTTAGTGAATTTTTTGTCACTGACAGAACCTCCAAGTCAGTGGCAGGTCAGACAGACTAATTAATGACCAAAGGTCGAAAAAATGGGTCGCACTTATGGTAAGCAGTTATTGAAAATGGCTGCTGCTGTCATGTCCACCGGTCAGTTGGGTGAAAACGCGCATCGCCCGTATTGAACACGCCGTCGGCAAGGTAACCAATGGAGGGGCGAGACTGCATGGCGCGAGTGCCGCTTTTTTTTTGCAATGTCAGAATCCTTCCGTCTGGCTGAATATTCTTATGCAACTCAAATTATGCAGCAGTGTTGATTTTGTTATGCTCTACGGATAGACTTTGCTTGGACTGCTATCAGACACCGCTTTGTTAAAATCAATTTAAGCAGTTCAATTTCAGGAAATTTTTTTCCTTCTTCGAACATAAAAGCCTTATGCGAAAGTAGAATTGTGGCATTTTAAATTATGTATACAAAATTTAACTCCTTGATTACTATAATTTCGAGGTGCGAACACTTTTTACCTGTTTTTGATTTTACGAAGTAGACAAACACTGAATTGATGGACTTGAGACAGGAGCAACGAACAGCAAATATTACATGAAGTGCACAAAAATGGCTTTAATTCAAATATAAATTTTAAATTGAATTTACAGAGGTACTTCCTGGTTGGCTGTGAAATTACGCAAGACGCTGAACCTACTGAAACGCCCAAAAGTACCTCTGCGGACCAACCTGGTTATGGAGGCAGTTAGGCTAATGGTGAATCAACTGCAGTCAACGCTTAAAAGATCTTCCAAAATATTTGGGAGGGAAATGGGAGATAGTAACTTGTATTTTGTTAAATT